TCTTTATTTCCCAGCACGACATTGGAGAATTGGATGCTTCTCTCAAAATACAACGCTTTTCGGATCAGAGAGCAAGGGAGAACGCCCAAAGCTTTTCTTAATTGTATATCCTGCAGGTTGCTTGACAAAATTGTTGATCACATGATGCTGCGTTCCAAATCCCGTGCGAATTGACGGTTCGAAAGTCCTTGAGTCTTCTTTTCGACTGTCTGTCCTTTTTCAAAATCCGATAATGGATGCCCTCCCGCCATAGCCTAGAAAAGGCAAGGGAACAATGATGAGACAGTTCTACCCAACAAAAAAAAGACGCAGCGACAAAATATGAGGTGGAACTATCATTTTGTGGAATTGTCAGAGTACCAATTTTCAAAAAAATGAACAAAAAAACTTGTTCTTTCAAGTTAGTTCCCGGTGTTGACATGCAAACTGGTATTGATTATTACCTCATTTTCTATTGAGGACATTTTTGAAAACCTCATGTAAGACGGGATTTTGTAATTTTATGGGTGGAACTATCAATATGTGGAGCAGTGTGGTATACCCTGGAGCATTTCTTGCTCTCATCTACAGCTCACTCGAAAGTCAAAGAAGATATACTGCACATCCCGCTATTCAGTAGCGTTGCTGCGTACATTATTTGAACATGGGAGACGTGCAACAGAATCGTCTGGGCAGGGCCCGCCGCAAGCGGAGCGTCGCGCGGCGAGTGACGCATCAGCTCACGGGCGTGCACTTGCTAGCTGATAGCCTTGCGATTGGAGCAATTGATTTATTGCAGCACACAATTGCGACGTTTAAATTTCATCAATAATTGAAAATCTAGCGATCTTTCTCTTGATAGTAACACACAATTGTTTGGCGGATCCATAGACGCAACTTCAGGAAATAAACAAATACAAAAGAAATCAAATAAGGCAGTTATTCTCCCTATGTTTATGTGGTTCACATGATTCGCGCAGTCGTCAGCGTCAACATTTAATAGATGAATGGTCAAGTTTTCCTGTGAGCTGCTGTAAAAGATGACACACCAGAGCAAATGTTAAAGACCCTAATGAAGTTCATGCTCTAATGAACTTTTTCATTCTCTATGGAAAAACAAAGAAAAAACTAAAAACTCAATCGTAACTGAACACAAAACTTGATCTTGGCTTGTTCCAATCATCTATCAAACCGCCAGATGCACGAGTAGTTTTCTCGCTGCAACGATGTCATAGGCCACGCCCACCAGATGCACCGGATGATTCTGTTGCTACACACCCAAGTTGGCTAAGTACAAGGACCGGCAACATTCTTGCCACTGGCTAGATAAGAATCAAATTCCTCACCATTTCCCAAGCCGAAGCAGCGGGGAAAGAAAGGAAAGAAAGTTATGGTGATGGCTCTCGATCCATTCGAGACTATTACAGCCAAAAGTACTTTCAAAAAATTGAAAACTGAAACTTATGAATAGTGAATAGTGATTGAGTGATTAACAGTAAGCTGCTAAGGCAATGAGTCCAGCCCGGTCAATAATCGCCATCCGCTCGCGAGCGTCACTTTAAGCGGGCATTCTATAGGAGACTCAGAGGCAAACAGCTCAAAATCTGGATCGAGGATCGCCATCCACTCCGACCACTCGGCATTTTAACAGTCCCTCTTTGGCGGGATCAGCGTATAAATAGCCACGGCAGAGGACTGAATCGTTTCTACTCCACGTTAGCCAAGCGTTCGTCGCTTGGTTAACGTACGTGGAGTGGAAACTGGACTCCAGTTGCCTCGCCGGACCGAAGAACGACACTGGATCAGCGCAGCAATCCGCTACAACACCATGGCGACGCGCTGCTACACTGCACAGTCTACCGCAAAGAATTCATTGAGCTAGACTACGAAACTTCCGCATTTATCCTATTCACCAGATCAAGCCCTCACTGGTTACCACTTCATCGGAATCGCAGCAAGTTCTCCGCGGAAATGTGCTTCGGAAGGCAACGATATGCGTTAGGCATATGATATTTA